AAGGCGGCGCGATGGAAGATGAAGATGACGATCTAATGAGAAAGATCAGAAATGGCGAAAGCAGAAGAAGAACTGCCCTCTTCTCCTGTGAAATAAAGACAGAATCCCTCCATATTTCTTCTCAACAAAGTAGAGGATGTGACCTTTGCAAAAGATCATTCAATATACCTTAAGCACAGAAGTGACTATATTGTCTTTTTGGTGGATGGTGATGTCCACAGTTTCGATCATCCTACATTGCAAGGTTCTGTATAGTTGTATTACGGTGTTTAAAATTTTGTGACTGGGTAGTGTATCATATACAGTATTGGAAACTGGGCCGGGTGTCATATGTTATACATACTACTTTTCTTCTTCTGCCGGTTACTAAGATAAATTCATTTAGTGCATAAAGCCACTGAATTGGAAGACTCTTATTAGTTGTATTGGCTCAGTGTTACCTTTCGAAAACAGTCTTTGTGTAGTATTTGTCTGTTTTTGCAGTCTCCGCTCTGTTGCTGTATTAGCAACTTCTGTGTAAAGTACATGACGTGACTTTTGTACAGCATTATTGCTATCATTTCCAACTGCATTAAATTCGTACGCTGGATAAGGACGGTGGCTTTGGCCATCTGCAGGATAGCCTAATTCTAGCTGCTTTCGCACAGTTCTCTAGAACAGTCTGTGCTTAATGCTAAGAACTGACATTTCATAAATTAGTTCTCAAGCTCAATATTAAACTGTTGCAACACTGGCTGTCTGATTGATTATGGAAATATTGATGGCTTGCGTTTCGCAGTAAACACTTCACAAGGTACATCAGGCAGATAGCCGACCGATGTACGATGAATTTCGCTGTGTTTCCCTTTGACGGAATCGTTGTATTTGATGATGTACCTATTGCATATCTTGGCTTATTTACTGTTGTATGTTTTCGGTGATAATTTTTATTGGGTCTATTTGCAGTCGATTTTCTTTCATATAACGGAAAACTTTCAGTTGAATATTTGATCATAAAACCTTTGCTGGGAGTTCCGTCGAGTTTCGCGGTAAGTCGTGAGAAGTTTTGGAGAGAACAGGCGACAGTCACTGTGGGGCATCGTGGACTGGGCCGATCTTATACAAAGTATTTGACTTGCAAATCTTTCATAGTAAATGTACTTTAAACCCTGTTCAGATTCGCATCTGTGCGTGAAAATACTATAGCATCTTTTGATGCCGCTGCGTCCTGCGTAACGTTTCCTAATGTTTTTGCCCATTTCAGAATTTTTCGCATTTTAGGGTGCTGACTTTGTCGAATTCGATGTTCAGCTTACGAAGGACCTTGTACCGATTGTGTACCACGATTTCTTCGTCTATCTGTGGGCGAAAAAACGCCGAAGCAGCAACGTCAGCAAAGCAAGTAAGGATAAGGACAGTGACAACAACTACGATCTGCACCGGATTCCGATTAAAAGCCTGGAGCTGCGAGACCTACAAGAGTTAAAGGTAGGCCGATTAAGCCAAACGATTATGCGATCACGATCGTGGACCTTTTGCATGCATGGTTGCAGATTGATCACACGTCGTTCAACGTGCATATGAACGTGATGTACAGCTCTCAGGTTACCTGCGATGACGATGTGATTGCCAAAAATCAGCCGTTTCCGACATTAGCCGCCGTGTTACAATCTGTAACACCGTCGCTGGGTTTCAACATTGAAATCAAGTATCCGTTAAAGACAGTAGTGAGTGTTTTTCAGTAATTAACATACCGTATCACATGACATCCTGACAAAACCACAAGGATGCGCAAGCTACAGCTCTATTTGCTCGTTTCAATAGACGCAATTATGTTAAATATCAGGTGGTGCAGCTTTTCCTATTGCTTTTCACTGCTTGCATAACCACCATAACCGTGAGCATATCACTTCTCTAAAACCAGATGTAACGCAGAATTGCACCACTCGCTTGTTCGTAGGTGTCTTAGGGCCATTTCAGCAACCCATTCTTGATGGTATCTGAACACCTACAGCGTTGCAAATGTGATACGCTGCAGCATGATGCTCCTTAACAAAACTCATGACATAACGTTCATTTCCGAAGAAACGAGACCGAAATGAAGTAGCATGTCGTGTTTGCAGCGTCCTGATGAGTTCTCGGTACGACATCGTCATTAAACATCTTAAGCGTTTTGATCATCTGCTTGAACACTGGCAACAGACTCGCTCATTCCCAGGTTCTGTACCGTCTCATTATCAAGTGGTCTTCAGGTCCCAGATTTTTCGAAATATCAGTGAACGCTGAGGGAATATGTGCGCGATTCTAAATGACTCTAAAGAAGGAGATAAGAAGCACGATGGTGTCTGTATGCGCAATCGAAATTCATGACGTCAATGGCTCCAACAGCGATGTTTCAGCGCTGTGGCATGTACACGAAGATCCAGTTGCTGTCTAAGCGAAAGGGCCGGAGCCAATCTGAATATATGCACCGACGTTGCTGTGTAAGTCGCGTAAATGGTTGAACACAATGTCCGGGATGTCAGTTCGCTTGAGTTCATAACGGATGCCTTGAGCAGAAGGGTATCAGCCTAGCCAGCGGAATGTGTGCAAAAGCCTTACCGGAGAAGATACCAGCGGACTATAGAACGGAGCTGTACCCTGCTCAAGAAGGAAGGCCACGGGGAGTACTCAAATTATTGGGATATTACATTATTGAGCCTCTCAGATAGAGTCTACGCAAAGCTGCTAGAAAAGAGGTGCCGCGGAAATAATACTCCCAGGTACAAGAAAAGCAGTGTGGCTTCCGGCTGTGTCGAAGTATCTCTGGCCATATATTTTCCCTCTATCAGATTGTTGCGAAATCGTGGGAATTCGGCCATCCGGCGTACATCTGCTTTGTTTATTTCGACAAAACTTCTTATCAGATCCTCCGCACCAATCTGTGGGCAAGCTTGCGAATATATGGGATTGATGGCCAGTTACTACGGACCATCCAATGACTGTATTATGATAGAAGGTGTAGCGTCTCAGTAAATAGCATTAAGTCGAAGTTTTTCAACGTTGGCACTGGTCTTCGCCAAGGCTGTGTCCTGTCCCGTATCCTGTTTGTATTGTACATGGATAGAACAGTCAAGAGCAGCCAAGGTGGTGACTGCATCGGTGTAGAAGGCGTCGCGACGAGAAGGCTGATGTTTGCTGACGACATGTTTTTGCTGGCACTTCCTCAAACTGATCTTCAAACAATGCTGAAAGGTTCGCAACCGAGTGCGACGTGACTGGCATGCGTGTGAACGCATCTAAAACGAAATGCCTAGTACTTTTTCGTTTTGCTGCCTTTGCTCTCTTCAGATTAACGAAGAAGCAGTGAACCAGGTGGAGAAGTTCAAGTACCTCGTAGTCGTATACACTAGTGATGGAAAGTTTGAGGAAGAGATGAACCGGCGAATTGGAGCAGCCATTGGCGTTCTGCATGAACTAGCCTGAACCATTGTGACTATAGCAGAGCTAAGTCTGAAAACTAAGCTATCACTATTCAAGCTGATCTTTATCCCAATACTTACCTACGGTCATGAGTCGTAGACCATGACTGAAAAGCTTCGAACCCGGGTACAAGGGTAATGAAATGGGCTTTTTTAGACGAGTCGCCAGCCTTCACGTCTCGACATGATCGGGAATATAGACATCTGCGAGATCCTTGGCGATGGTTTGGGCATGTGTTGCGGATACGTCCAGAAAGAAAGGCGAAGCAACTCTTCCTTTCCCAACGGACTGGTAGAAGGCCCAGTGGATGGCCAGTATTAACCTGATGCAAATATACGGAAGAAGTTTGCTCCAGACTCCAGTTGTCTTCTGCCGAAGCTCAGACTCTGTCTCAAGATCGTGAACGTTGGAAGCACTCTGAAACGTCTGCCTCCGCCACCTGAAAGGAACAGCGGTCATTGAAGAAGATGATGTCTTTGTCGGGAGCAGACAGTTGAAGAACTGACTGCTGACTGCAGCATTTCGTTTTGGGTCTTTTCCATTGTGCAATAAAATGGTTATACCTTTCTTCCATTTGTTTGTTTCGTGACCGGTACTTCCATACATTCGGGAAAGGAAACTTGTGTCAGGCGAATCTAGCTGGCACGTTTCAGCAACTTTGGTGATATCAGGTTGGAAACTTCAAATCGGTCGTGTCTGAGTTTGCGGATGTGCCGCAGTGACCTCAGCCAATGCCATGAGCAACGTATCGGTTTCATGGTTCGCAGTTGTGTCTTTGTTTTACAGTTCTTGTTCTGTACCTGTCGTGTCAGTGCCGCGGCATATTTCAAAACTGATTCGTAGTGTTCCAGCCGACGGGCTGAAATTTCGGTAGCTGAGGCACTCATGTCCTCTTTCAGCTTTTTGGTCGTGCTGCTCACCAGCAAATCGTTATCTCAAAAGAGGCTTCATGGGTAGATGTGCCGAATTCACGTTGGTATGCCCAGTGCCTTCTTGCGCTTCGTCTGAGGGCCTGTTTTGTTACTTTGCATGGTCTGCGTTCGTCTTCTCGTTGAACCTTCCTTGTAATCGCCGTTTTTGGACGTGAGTGTCATTTCCGTAACCTTTAGCTTCATTCGCAAGATGGCAGACAGACACCATGTTCTCGCCCTAAAAGCCAACCAACTTGCCCTACGAGTTTATTATGGATCTACTGATTTTTTTCCTCAAATTGTCTTTAATGTTATCATAATCGAGGGGTTGAGCTCGAAAGCAGTTGTCGATGACGAATTCGTACACTTCAGTTACCCTGTTATCCTGGAAAGCGCTGTTTGCATTGTATAGTTTGTTCATCTTGTTGAATTCGGCATAGTGTGGCAAAAAGACGTGGAATTTAGCCACATCCTGCCTGCGGTTGTTTAGAGTATGCACTTCTGCTTTGGATAAACTCTGTAGCTCATAAGCTTATTCTCGTATTGAACCAGGTTGCGGTTGGTCTATTTATCCGTCT